GGCGATGCCGACGGCCGCGAGGCTGCTCCTCCCTCATCCCACGCCTCTCTCCCTCACCCCTCGCCCCTCGCACCTACACTAGGAGCTCGACCACAAGAAACCTTCCACAAGAATCTCAACCATGAGACCCCGGGGAGTCCATTGATTGTAGGTTTGGGAATGTCACACATTCCATGGCAAAACCATCGAAAGCCAGAAAACCCAGGGCACCCTGGAGGCAAGCAGGGTGTTTCTTGGCATGGGCTTCCACTGTACTCACCTGCAGCCTCCGCCTCCAGCTACTCTCTCGGCTGCAATATGTCGCCCCCGCGCTTCTCTGTGGAGGCGCCTTGAGAATCAGCTCCAGCGTGAAGAAGACCTGCCCGCGTGATCTCCGAGGTCGTCTATCCGCTCCAACGTGGAGCGGGGAGAGGAATTTCAGAAAAGGCCATAACCTATTAAACATTCAGGCTGGCTCTGGACCCCCTCCCTGGCGTCCGTGGGCGGCGCCTTCAGCGCGGTCCCCGACGCGCTTCGCGAGCCGAGGAGTGGTGGGTGGGGAGGGGGCCTGGCGCCAGCGGAGAAGTCGTCCGCAGAAGTCCGAAAGCTTATGTCTGTCTGGCGTTCTGGTTCTTGAAAGAAGAAGGATGACAAATGGTCATCCAAACCTTAGACAATTGGATTTTGCCCGAGTAAACGGCCCCTGGACCCCTCGACCCCCTCACCGGGTGTGCGTGTTCATCCCTGTGGTCAATCCACGGGGCGAGAAACGGCTCCCAGACGCGGAAAACCTGCGGCGCGATGCTTTGACAAGGACATGTGAAGGACGAGGTTTCCTCCCTGTGGAACTCGTGCAGCCTCTCGCCCCGAGACGCCCCGCCACGCCCAACCTCTTGTCCCGCCCGCCTTCCTCTGAACTCCCAGCCTCTCTTCAACGAACGACGCATCAAGCCAAGCCTGCCGTCACTGCGCCGTGCTGTGGCTACGCGCGGGGCAGCGGGATACTCACGCGATTGCTTCCACTCAGCGGGTGAGGCAACGAATGTCCGGCTTCGTATCCCCCATGTTTCTGCAGTGTTATGAAGTATCCCCTCAGTTCTGCCGAGGTCGACTGCGACATCGTACCCAAACCGTGGCTGAATTTCACTCATAGGTTTCGGCCATGCCGTATCCAGATCGGAAGGCTTTGTAGAAGCTGGCCAAACAAGGGGGCGTGGGCTTCTGGTGATATGCAAAAAAGTGCCGCCGCGATCGCGTAGATTGACCTGGCTGGTTTTCCCTTGTCGCGCGCCGAAAAGGTGTAGCCAGCTCGGCACGGCGACGCTGGGGGCTTGCAACGGAGCTTCACGCATCGCTGGCTCGAGATTGGGCTCGATGGCATCGGCGATTCACGATTCGTAGAGGAAGTCGGGCGTCTGGTGAGGGCGACACCCTCAGAGAAGGACGAGGAGCAGGAGGGCATGGAGGGAGAGGGAGAGGCGTGGAAGACCCAGAGACCGCCAGGATAGAGACGACGACTCTGAGGATTCTGCTCCAGGTCCCTGCGCCAGGCATGCCCATACCTGAATCAAGATAGCCTCAGGTCGGGAAAAGAGGAGGAGAGGCAGGATACGCACGCACACGCCCACACGCCGCGAGCAGGGGAGGGCCCAGAGATGGAGGGGGGGGGAGGGGGACGAGAACGGAGACGAGCGGGAGAATGGCGGGGACGAGAGCGCGGCGGGCTCCCCGCGCTTCCTCCGCCCGCTCCCCTGGGCACCGTGAAAATGGGCTCGAACACGAAGTTAAACATGCGGTTGTAGCCTGAAGGCGGGAGCGGCACACTTTGCACGGCGCGCACGGCGGGCGCCCGCGAGAGCACCGCGAGGATGATCACACGACGGGCGGAGGCTCACGGCCGCAGGGGCAGACAGAGGACCGTCCGGCAAGGTGGCAGGCTCCCCAGGGAGGGAACGGAGGGCCAGGGGCGACACGGTGGGAAACGAGCTCGTGGGAGACGAGGCTCCTCGCCCCCCTGCCCCTTGAGACGAGGACAAGGAGGAGGAGGAGGAGGAGGAGGAGGAGGAGGAGGAGGAGGAGGAAGAGGCGGGGGAGGAAGAGGCGGGGGAGGAGGGAGGGAGGACAACGACGACGGCAGGAAGGGAGAAGAGCTTCCTGACAAAAAACAGCCTGGCGAAGGACCCAACCATATGCAGTTGTGAGTTACGCAGTTGTGAGTAACGTCTTCGGTGGAGGTCCATATGGGGCCACAAAACGCGTGATGGCTGTGTTGAACTTTGTGGCGGGGACGCATGTGGGCACCGCCACTGGGGCCACCGGTGGAGCTTCCTGTGGGGCCACAAAACGTGAGAGGGGTGCGCCGAAATTGGTTGCGGGTGCGCTTGTGAACTGCGACACTGGAGCCTTCGGTGGAGCTCCCTAAGGGGTCACGAAACGTGTGAGAGAAAATTGGTTGCGGGGGCGCTTGTGAACTGCGCCACTGGAGCCTTCGGTGGAGCTCCCTATGGGGCCACGAAACGTCGGAGGTTGGGGGGTGAAATCGCAGTGGAACGGAGACCCCCAACCGGGAAATCGTTTCGTTTCGTGTCGTGCGTGCGGACGAGGCGAAGCGGCGTGGGCGCGCGAGAGGAATGAACCCGCCGTTGCTAGGGCAAAGTCAAGACAAATGATTCTCCCACGCCCGCCCGTCCAGCGGTGGCCCGCGGTGTCCCGCGATGTCCGATGGTGTCCCGTGGTGTCCCGTGGTGTCCGCCGTTGCTAGGGCGAAGTCAAGACAAATGATTCTCCCACGCCCGCCCGTCCGGCGGTGGCCCGCGGTGTCCGCGGTGTCCCGTGGTGTCCCGTGGTGTCCCGTGGTGTCCGCCGTTGCTAGGGCAAAGTCAAGACAAATGACTATCCCCCGCCCGCACGTCCGTCCGTCCGTCCGGCGGTGGCTCGCGGTATCCCGCGGTGTCCCGTGGTGTCCCGTGGTGACCCGCGGTGTCCCGCGGTGTCCCGTTGAGTGACATCGATAGTGACATCGATAGTGAGATCGATAGTGAGATCGATAGTGAAATCGATTGTGAGATCGATACTGGGATCGATGTGGTGCCCCGAGGTGCCCCGTGGTGTCCCAAAAAGTGAGATCGATAATGAGATCGATAGTGAGATCGACAGGTGTCCCGTGGTGTCCCGTGGTGGCCCGTGGTGTCCCGTTGAGTGAGATCGATAGTGAGATCGATAGTGAGATCGATAAGATCGATGTGGTGTCCCGAGGTGTCCCGTGGTGTCCCGTGGTGTCCCGTGGTGTCCTATGGTGGCCCGTTGAGTGAGATCGATAGTGAGATCGATAGTGAGACCGATAATTCGCCGGCCCAACGGGCCAGGGCGTGCTAAGATCTCCGGTAACTGGTTAACAGTATTAACAGTATTTCTAGTTCGCGCGCGCGGGGCGGCCCCTGGGGGTCCCCCGGCGAAAAGTACCCCGACCAACGCCCGGTCGCCGCCCGACCAAGTCTACTCAGAGATGGTTTTCCTTCTGGGTGCGGCCTCTCAGGCTCCCCAGAGCGCGCTCAGAGTGCCCCAAGAGGCCCCCAAGACTGCCCAAGAGGCCCCCGAGACGCCCAAAGAGCGCTCGAAGACGCCGAAGATGACCCCAAGACGGCCCAAAAGGCCCCCAAGACAGCCCAAGAGGCCTCCAAGACGCCCCAAGAGCCTTCCAAGAGGCCTCCGAAGAGAGCCCCAAGAGGCCAAAATCGTTGATTTTCATTGGTTTTTTCGATGTTTTTTGTGTTCTGGCTTTTTCGGCTTCCGGACGCTCCAAGACGGCCCAAGAGGCCCCCAAGACCGCTCCAAGACGGCCCACGAAGCTCCCAAGACGGCGCCGAAACGACCCAAGAGAGCCCTCAAGACGGCCCAAGTGCCGCCCAAGACGGACCAAGAGGCCCCAAGACGGGCCCAAGAGGGACTCAGGAGGGATACCGAGAACTCAAAAATGGAGCCCTCCGTCCCAGAAGGCGCCCAGGAGGTCCCAAAGAGGCCCCAAGAGGCCTCCAAGAGGCCCCAAGATGTCGCCAAGAGGCCCCAGGAGACTCCCAGGAGGCCCAAAAGAAGCCCCAGAAGGCTTCAAACATGTCTCCCAGGCGCCCCCGAACGGCCTCTCAACAGACCCCAAGAGGCCCCCCAAAGAAGCATCTTGACGACGACTCTATTTCGCCCCATCGAGAGACGACCCCCAGGGAACTGCTTCACTATCAAAACTCCCCACGCAACGCGTCCGAACGACACCCGCCCCCAAGAGCGCAACATGGGCAACGAACACACAGACAAAAACCAGCGATGCCATATCACGGGCCGGCGGAATGAGCGAAGCGATTCAATAAGATCGATGTGGTGTCCCGAGGTGTCCCGCGGTGTCCCGTGGTGTCCCGTGGTGTCCTATGGTGGCCCGTTGAGTGAGATCGATAGTGCGATCGATAGTGAGAAGGATAGTGAGATCGAGAGGTTGTCCCGCGATGTCCCGTGGAGTCCCGTGGTGGCCCGTGGTGGCCCGTGGTGTCCCGGTGAGTGAGATCAATAATGAGATCGATAGTGAGATCGACAAGTGTCCCGTGGTGTCCCGTGGTGTCCCGTGGTGTCCTGTTGAGTGAGATCGATAGCGAGATCGATTGAGTCAGATGTTGGTTCCCCCCCTCTCCCCCCCCCCACACACAACCTCCTTCTGACCCGAAGGGTGGTCGTATAGGTATGCGGGGTGTATGTGTGCTTTAATGGGTGGCGGGAACACACGTGGGCACCGCCACTGGGACCTTCGGTGGAGCTCCCTATATAACCTCAAAACATGTGAGGGCGTGCCGAAATGGGTAGCGGAGACGCATGTGGGCACCGCCACTGGGGTGGGGCAACAAAACGTGAGAGGGGTGTGCCGAAATTGGTTGCGGGGGCGCATGCAGGCTGCGCCTCTGGGACCTTCGATGGAGCTCCTATGAGGCCACGAAACGTGAGAGGAGTGCCGAAATGGGTGGCGAGGACGCATGCGGGCTGCGCCACGGGGACCTTCGGTGGAGCTCCTATGGGGCCACGAAGCGTGCGAGTGGTGTGCCGAAGTGGGTGGCGGAGACGCGCCTGCACTGTCGCTGTCCATGCAAATTTGGGCAAAATCCTCTTGTCACTTGATGCAAATGGGTTGGGTACGTCACATGGTAATGTGCACACGGGATGCCGGCGAGTTGGTCTTTCATAGGTGCTGATTACACATCCGTCTCTCTTCGGCCGTTCAAAATGCTGCTCCATCTACAGCGCTGGCCTCATGTTCGGGCTTCCGCTCGCTCCGAATCGTGCTCCCGCTGCAGCGCTTGCCTCATTTCGGCGATTCCGCTCGTTCCGAATCGTGCTACCGCTGCAGCGCTGGCCTCATTTCCGTGCTTCTACTCGTTCCGAATCGTGCTCCCACTGCATCGCTGGCCTCATTTCCAGTGCCATGCCATGGCATACAATCTCATGCTATGGTGTGTTCCGCTGTGCGATGCCATGCCTTCAGCTGCAATGTTGTAATATGCAGTGCTTGACTAGGCAATGCCGCGCCATGCTATGTCATGCTACGCGTTGATAGTCAACGCCATGCTATGCAATGTAATGCTATGCCATGCTACGACATCCGACTGCGCGAATAGAAAAGAGATCTGCGCCATGGTGAGGGATGGGAGGGAGGGACAGGACGTCAGATGAGACGCTTGCGCACCTGCCCCATCCCCCTTCCCCTCGAGGGGGGTTCCAGCGCGAGGCTCCGCCGCTAGCCGCCAGGTCAGTTCCTCTCCTCTCCCCATCCACATATCGTCCCTCCCCTCCCTGAAGACACCCTTTTACGCTTCAAAGTTTTGATACTATCATGTTCTATTTCCTCGCCCCTCCTCATCCCAGCACTCCCTTCCCCCCTCACATTCCGCCTCCCTCTCCTTCTCGCTCCCTCCCCGATCATGCCTCCCGTTCGTCCCTCCCACTTTCATCCCCCAATCCCATCTCCCTCCCCTCTCTGTCTCCTGCCGTTCCTCAGCTTCATGTCCCGCCTTTCCACCTCCTCCCCCCTCTACGTACCTCGCCGGGCGAATCACCCATCCAGAACAGAGGACAGCTCACGCCGTCAAGGCCATGCCAGTGATAGCATCGCTGATGCTATTGCTACTCCCTCCTTCTCTGCCTCTACCCGTTCTCCCCCCACCAAACGGCGGCCTTCGTCGTTCGGCTCCTGCCAATGATAACACAGCTGCAATAGCGAGCCAAACACAATGAGAAACAAGATCCGCTGAGCCCCCGCCAGGGCGAAACGAGCTGGCATCAAGGAGGTTTGTGCGGTCTCCATCTCTATATATATATATATACATATATAGCTATCTATAGAAACGTGTGTATACATATATGTAGTTCTGTGTACGCGCATGAAGACATATACAGATGTCTGGAAAAACAAATAGGTTTGTCAAAGTACCTGTGTATATATGTGTATGTGTTGTTCGCCCTGTAATTATCGTTATATCTATATATATATATATATATATATGTATATATGTATCGCTCTCCCTCTCTCTCTCTGCCTCTCTCTACCGCGCTCTCGCTCTGCTTCTCTATAGATACATGGATGTATGTATACATGTGTGGCGCATGCAGATACAAAAGTCTGAATGCGTGTGTGCGTGTAAGCCGTGTGACCGGAGAGAGAGAGAGAGACAAACAAAAAAAAAAAATGCAATAGAGAGAGACAGAGAAAAAGAAAAAGAGAGACAGGGATCGTATGTGCGTGTGTGTGTCACTATCCTCGTGCTCCTGCCTCTGCTCCTCCTGCTCCTCCTCCTTCCAAATGGCACCTCCCATACCCCATCCCCTTCCTTCTGCTCTTTCCCATGGAAGCAGGCCTTCCGTCAGATTGGTAGGTGCTGTCGCGAACCTGATGTTAGAACGTCACAGCCTACTCTGATCCAGATAAAAGACAGACTCGAAATGCTCACAACTTTCATGTGCGAAGCCGACCTGATTCCCTATCTGGAGATGGTCGTCGCCGAAATGTCTGGATAATTGGATTCCGAAAACAACCGCCGACGCCAGGGACGCAACCACTGTCGGAGTATAACGTTGGACCAGCAGCACCCCCGATGTTCGGTATGATCGATCCTGGCGATCATATCACCGCTTCACCGCTCCTCCTGTTCATCCCCCTCCATCCCGCTTCCCTCCCCCTTGCCCCTTCCCCATTCCCTGCCATCCCCCTCGTCTACGAATCGTCCCTCTCCCCCCTCCTCCCTGCCCATTCCCTCCTCCCTTTCCCCGCCACGTTCTCGTCCAGCCCTGCCCCCTTTCCCCCCTCATCCCCGTTGTCGTCGTCGTCGGCGTTGCCGTCGTGGCCGTCGTGGTCGCCGTGGTCGTCGTCATCGTCTTCGTCGACGAACTCTTGGCGCCCAGCCTCTCGAATGGCATTATCAAACCAAACATACTCCACCAATTTCAGCACCTGCACGCCGGGGTCGGAAGAGGAGGGACGAGGAAGAAGGAAGAGGTGGAGGAGGAGTGGCACCGAAGAGTGGGATGTAAATTTCTCGCCTTTGGGGGCCTCCCAGGGGCCGTCGTCGCCAACGGCTGGATCTGCCTGGGCATCCTGTTAGGAGCGTCCCCCAGGACAGGGGGGACGGGAGAGGAGATCTTCGCGGGTATTCGACAGCGGCGTTCGCCGCGGATGTTTTCGGATAAGGTTCAAATGGTCTGCGCGGGATCCCTGCGGCCCAAGGAAGGGTACGGAGGTATCGGGCAGAGGGGAAGGAGAGGGGAGAAGCGGAAGGGTGAGGCGGAAGGGGATAAGAGAGGGGGCGGGAGAGGGGGGTGGGTAGGAGAGGCAGGGAGGGGGGAGCATGTGCAAAGGCTGACGGAGGAAAAACGATGAGCAGCAGCAGCGGCGCCAGAAGAACAGAGGTTCGCACAGGCGATCGGGGGCCACAGGATGGGGGGGGGGCACTAAGCCGTTTGAAGGCAACGCCGCCGCGCCACCCAACGCCGACACTGATCGGACCAAACTTGTGTTGAAAGGACGCTTGCTTCCACCACGTTCGAATCGCTAACCACCTGCAAAAACGACTTTGCCAAGTGGCTTTGAAGGTGCTGAAAAACTCCCTAGCTCAAAGCGGTCCGTTTGCTGGCTTTGACGGTGCTAAGAAAATCCCTGGCTCGAAGAGGCCCTTTTGGTTTTATCCCCCCGTACATTGTATTCCGCATCCCCTCCAGAGGGCCTTGGGATGAAACGGACAGAGCGGAGCACGGAATGAGCAAAACAGCAGCTCCGCACAAACGGAACCAAGCACGCTGGTTCCCGCCACTGCTTAGGAGAACGGCCATCAAGCAAAATCGTGCCAGCGCGGAACGCGGAACGATACGGAATCCCCCCGTATCCTATCGGTGAGATGGGGTGGAGAAGAGGGGGGAGGAGCCGGAGGGAGGCGAAGGGAGAAGAGACAGGGGAGGAAAGAGCTAAACCAGGCCTCGAATCGAGCATAGGCCAGTACATCCAAAATGCCACACTGCCTGCTGCAAGAGCCAGCTGGGGAGGACAAATCCTGCCAGAGGCGGGCACATCCAAAAAGCAACACATGGATACAGTACGTTGGGTGCAGTCGCTCGCCAACAAATGAGTTTCAAAGTGGTGCAAGTAGTAATGCTAAAAGGTATCGCCCCGCCCCAACACCCTTCGGCGCCGTGGGCACGCAGGTCATGAAACGACAAATAGGGCAAAGCCAAGTCATCGGGGACCTGGGGTTGGCCGACCCGGGTCGCAAGACCGTGAGCGTGCGCCGCGCGCGCATGCAGCAGGCGAAAATCACCAATTCCCATGCAGGGGAACGAAGATTCTGGTCCAGAGCCTGTTTCGTATTGTTCCTGAGGACTGAAGGCAGAGACACAGCGGTTCCTATCGAGACGATTTTCCGCTACCGCCCCGGCTCAAATTAGAAAGAGAGATTCCTATCGAGAGAATTTTCCGCTACCGCCCTGGCTCAAGAGAAGTAGGATCTCTGCTACCGAGAGAGGGGAAGAGGGGAGGGAAGGACGGGACGGCGAAAAACTACGCTGGCAGTAGCTGCGCCTCGGGCCACTATCGGACAAGAGGAGGGGCCGCACGATTCGGGAAGGAGCGAGGACGAGACAGGCAGAGGAGGCGGAGAGCCGGCCCGCCCCAGCAGGGCTAGCCGGAGCTCCGCCTCCGGCTAGCCCTGCTTCGCATACGCTCACATTTGCGCTGGCTAGCCAGCAGGGCAAGCCCAGTTGCGCTTCGCATACGAAGTCTTCTCGTCCGACGAATTCTTAGGGCCACTGCAGTCCGGCAGAACCTGGGAACCACGACCCCAACACAACACACCCTGCGCACGCGAAACGCCTAGCTGTTGCAATGCAACGGCGAGAGGTTGCATCTGCAACGGCCCAACAAAATCCAATAAAATGCATAATCAAGACATACAGGTTGCAACTGGGAGACGCTGCATTGGCAACAAGCACGCGTTGAATCTTGCACAGCGAAAGATTGGATTGCAACCATGCAATGGCCCTGCACCGTGCATTCCTACAGGGCAGACTTGCGCCCGATGGATGGGAGAGAGGACAGGAGCTGGAGAAAATGGAAGGATCCGAATACTACTCTACATCCCGATGCAATGCCCATGCTTCGGGGCCACGTTGCCTTACACGAAGTCGCTCATATCTTCTCGGGCACACGCATACGCCCAACGTGTACTAGTTCTGGCGGGGGAGCGGACTACCGGCCTCCTCCTTCTCCTTCTCCTCCTCCTCCTCCCCCCTTCTCTGGGAAACGTGCTCATGGCCACCTCCCCGCAATCCTGCTCCTCCTGCTGCTCCTGCTCCTCCTGCTCCTCCTCCTCCTCCTCTTCCTCCTCCCTCCTCCTCCTCCTCCTCCTCCTCCTCCTCCTCCTCCTCCTCCGCCTTTTCATCCTCCTCCTCCTCCTCCTCCTCCTCCTCCTCCTCCTCCTCCTCCTCTACTCCTCCTCCTCCTCATCGGGCCCCATGCTCCTCCCTCGGCCTCCCCGTGCCTCCCTCTTCCTCGTCCTCCTCCTCCTGCTCCTCCTCCTCCTCCTCCTCCTCCTCCTCCTCCTCCTCCTTCCTCCTCCTCCTCCCCTCCTCCTCCTCCTCCTCCCCCTCCTCCCTCGTCCTCCTCATAATTCTCCTCTTCCCTCCTGCTTTCCTTCTGCCTCCTCCTCCTCCTCCTCTCCTTCTCCTCCTCCTCCTCCTCCTCCTCCTCCTTTCTTCTTCTTCTTCGTCTTCTTCTCTTCCTCCTCCTCCTCCTCCTCCTCCTCCTCGTCCTCTCCTCCTCCTCCTCCTCCTCCATCCTCCTCCTCCCCCTCCTCCTCCCCTCCTCCTCCTCCTCCTCCTCCTCCTCCTCTCTCCTCCTCCTTCCTCCTCCTCCTCCTCCTCCTCCTCCTCCTCCTCCTCCTCCCTCCATCCTCCTCTCCTCCTCCTCCTCCTCCTCTCCTCCTCCTCTCTCTCCTCTCCTCCTTCCTCCTCCTCCTCCTCCTCCTCCTCCTCCTCCTCCTCCTCCTCCTCCTCCTCCTCCTCCTCCTCCTCCTCCTCCTCCTCCTCCTCCTCCTCCTCCTCCTCCTCTCCTCCCTCCGCCTCCTCCTCCGCCTCCCCTCCTCCTCCTCCTCCTCCTCCTCCTCTCCTCCTCCTCCTCCTCCTCCTCCTCCTCCTCCTCCTCCTCCTCCTCCTCCTCTCCTCCTCCTCCTCCTCCTCTCCTCCTCCTCCTCCTCCTCCTCCTCCTCCCCATCCTCCTCCTCCTCCCTCTCCTCCTCCTCCATCCTCCTCCTCCTCCTCCTCCTCCTCCTCCTCCTCTCCTCCTCCTCCTCCTCCTCCTCCTCCTCCACAATTACTCAATATGAATATACTTTCCCTCTTCCCCTGATGGCGTCCGGGTGATGGCCGCGCACCCTCCGCGTGCTGTTTTTTCACACAGGCTGCCCGGGAAATCCCGGGAAACGACTCTCGCTGAGGCGCCGGCGTCATTTTTTCTCAAAATGCTGCTCTCGCGCCGGCGTCATTTTTTCCCAAAATGCTGCTCTCGTTGAGGCGCCGGCCTCATTTCTGCTCCCGAATCCTTCCCCTGATGGCGTCCGGGTGATGGCCGCGCACCCTCCGCGTACTGTTTTTTCACACACAGGATGCCCGGGAAATCCCGGGAAAAGACTCTCGCTGAGGCGCCGGCGTCATTTTTTCCCAAAATGCTGCTCTCGTTGAGGCGCCGGCCTCATTTCTGCTCCCGAATCGTTCCGAATCGCGTTCCCGCTGCAGCGTGGGCCTCATTTTCGGATCGGTGCTTGGCCTCCGTCGTTCAGGATGGCGTTCTCGCCCCAGCGCGGGCCTTTTTCTCGCGCGCCCATCCGCCCGCCACCACCGCGCCGCACCGCCACCACCACCACCACCACCACCACCACACCACCACCACCACCACCACCACCACCCACCACCAGCACCAGCACCAGTACCAACACCACCACCACCAGCACCACCACCCACCACCAGCACCACCACCACCACCATCACCACCACCACCACCACCACCACAACCACCACCAGCACCAGCACCAGTACCACCACCACCACCACCACCAGCACCACCACCACCACCATCACCACCACCACCACCACCACCACCACCACCACCACCACCACCACCACCACCACCACCACGACAACCACGCACACACGCACGCACGCACGCACGTGCACCACCACCCACTACGCACGCGCGCGCGGAGCCACAGGTCCGCTACGACACGCGTCCGCGGATAGAGAAAATCAGCGCCATGGTAAGGGATGGGAGGGAGGGGTAGGACGTCAGATATGACGCGAGCGCACCTAGCTTGTCCCTCCCCCTCCCCCTCTCCTCCTCCTCCTCCTCCTCCTCCTCCTCCTCCTCCTCCTCCTCCTCCTCCTCCTCCTCCTCCCTCCTCCTCCTCCTCCTCCTCCTCCTCCTCCTCCTCCTCCTCCTCCCTCCCCCTCCCCCTCCTCCACAATTACTCAATATGAATACTACTCTCCCTCTTCCCCTGATGGCGTGCTGGGAGTGGCCGACCCCCCCCCCGCGTACTGTTTTTTACACACAGGATTCCCGGGAGTTGGGTTTTCGCCTGCGTTTTTTTCAAAATGCTGCTCTCGCTGAGGCGCCGGCCTCATTTCTGCTCCCGAATCGTTCCGAATCGTGCTCCCGCTGCAGCGTGGGCCTCATTTTCGGATCGGTGTTTTGCCTCCGTCGTTCAGGATGGCGTTCTCGCCCCAGCGCGGGCCTCTTTCTCGCGCGCCCATCCGCCCGCCACCACCGCGCCGCACCACGCCCCGCCCCGCCGCACGCACACCCACCGCCACTTCCACCCACCAACGCACGCACGCACGCACGCGCACCACCACCGCGCACCGCCACCACCACCGCACTACCCCACCCACCACCACCACGCTACACCGCGT